GGAGTGTGCCATTGCACTCTAGTCTGGGTGACAGAGACTCCAACTCAAAAAAAAAAAAAAAAAAAGGGACAGAATATCATTTTCTATGTCTTTGTTTTATAGGAGTGTTATTCTGTGGCAAGGCATGCCAGAGTATGCTGAACTTTTGGAAGAAAGACTACATTAAACAGGAAGGATTTGCTTTTTCCCCCCCTTATACTACATAACAAGGTAAGGAACAAAATCAAAGCAGAAAAATTAAGTAGGTTTTATAAACCAGAAGAGGGTTTGCATTGGTCTAATAAATCAGAACAGTATAGAGACAAAAGGAGCTTTACAAGCACAGCTAAAATTTGGCCCTTTCTATTAAGAAATATAGACCATCCTTCTGTAAACTAGCTATTTCAGGAGGACAAAAATCTCACATCATGAATGATTCCTGACTAAATCCGGACACTGATGTACCTAAGACACCCTTACTGAACATCCCAGTAAGGCCAATAAGGCCATCCAAAATCTTGAGATGGGGCTCTCAAGGTTTAAGAGAAAACAAATACTACATGGATTACTTTAAGCATCTTCTAATGTTTGTGTATTTTATTTCCTATAATTCTGAGAACTGTTTTAAAATTAATGGACTGTACAGCTCCTATTGTCATTAAAACAAATAAAGGGGTAGGAAATAGTCTTAGAGATGACATTTATACAGCAGGAATCCCATGATGTTATTAAATTTAAGGCAACATGGTAGCGCATACACTACACAAGTTCTACATGATAAACACATGCGTGTGTATGTGTTGGTGCATTTAATTATCTACCCACCGCTCTAGATCCTTCCACCCACCTTTGGAGCCAGCACAGGGTCATGGTGGAAAGCCTGGGTTCTGGCATGGGACTGGGCGTGAATCGTGGCTCGCCTAATTACTGCTCTGTGGCCTTGGGAGAAAGTTTGCTAACTCATCTGTGCCTCATCTATTTTCTATTTTCTCATCTCTTAGATGGAGAAATGCTGGGTGTGGTAGTTAATGCTTGTCATCCCAATACTTTGGGGGGATAACGCAGGAGGATCCCTTGAGCCCAGAAATTTGAGGCTGCAGTGAGCCATGATCATGACACTGTACTCTGGCCTCGGCAACAGATACTCTGTCTCAAAACAAAAAACCAAAATAAAACAAAAAAAGAATAAAAAAATAAAGTAAAACAAAATGCAGAAATCAGCTGCTACCTAATTGGGTGGTGGTGAAGTAACAGGAGAATTAAGTGAGATAATATAGGCAAAGTACTTAGCACAATGCCCAACACATAGCAAGTGGCCCAAAGGTAGTAGTCTCATAATAAAACCTAGAATTAAAGAAACCCAAGGGAGAGTTTTGGAAGGGGTGTGATCTGGTATAACCTTTCTAGACTCTTGTTCAACATGTAACAAAGATAGGGAAAGTAAAATACTGGCTTTGTACCGTGTTCCAAGGCAAACTAAAATCTGGAATTTGCCATCCTTCCCAATGTTCCTGGGTGCAGTATTAATAGCATTTACGTAGTGGCAGAAGGTTTTGCAGGATGATTTCTGAATAAGGACATCATCTTCATTGTCTAGAATCTGGTCAGTTGTTTCAAAATAAGCAACTGCTCTTTCTAAGGAAAGAAGTCAGAATCACATTACAGTGCACATCAACACATACTATACAGAAAATTTTATCACTTAATATATTCTGGGAACACTAACGATGCTTTTCATTGCAGCCAGTCTTAAAGCCAAAATCATTACTTTATCACTGATTTCAGAATGAATTCCAGAGGTCCATGTTTTATGGTAGAACAATATGCTCCCAGGAATTTATTTTCTAAGCTAGACTGTATCCTAAAAGGTGTGAAAGTTTACTCTTTAAAATATCTTTGTGAAATGGAAATTGGAAAAAAAGAAACGAACATTAAAATCTTCTGTTAAGTCTAGAAATTTCTAGGAGTAACTAGCAATAACATGGTAGCCATTGAGATGGTATCTCTGTTCTAGTTATAGAATGGTTGGCTAACACTCTGCGACAAGACCGTCATAAGTATCTGATGAAGAAAGGTGTATGTATACACACATCAAAGGCAGGAGCAGTAAGAGTCTAGGTATTCCAGAAGAAAAAAAAAAAAATCACTCCTGTGGGTTTCTGTCAACTTTCCTTTCTTTGCTTAAAAACTCTGAGTTAGATGAAATAAAGTACTTCATCTAGGCCTTATTTATAAAACACAAAATGATTAATTGCCCTTTTAAAGAACCTGGGGATTCTAGAAGAGTTGCATACCAAAAGAAAGTCTACAAAGCTTAGCAAGTCAGAGCAGCACACTCCAACTGAGCTTTCCATGATGATGGCAATGTTCTGCATCTACAAGGTCTAGTTTGTAAGCCACTGGCTTCATGGGGCTGCTGAGCACTTGAAATGTGGCTAGTGTGACTAAGGAGGTACATCTTACATTTGATTTAAATAAATGTAAATTAAAGTCATTTGTGGCTACTGGACCACACAGAGCTAGATACATTCTTTTAAATAAATAAATGATATGTCACTCTTCTGCTCAAAGCCTTCCAATGGCTTCCTGCTTCATTCAGGATAAAGGCCAAGGTCCTTCCAATGACCTCAAAGGCCCTATACAATCTGGTCTGGCACTAAACACTCCTCCCCCAATCTCCTACTCCTGCTCTCTCTCACTCTGCTCCAGTCACGCTGGTCTTGGGGTTCCATGGGAAGGCCAGGTATACTTCCACTCAGGGGGCCTCGGCACTGGCAGTTAGTTCTCAACCCAGAGGCCCTTCTCCTAGATTCCATATGTGCTCACATGTCCCCTCAACATTCAGCAGAGCCTAAAACCACCCCATTTAAAAGAGCACTGCCCATTCCATTTCTTTTATACTGCTCTATTTTTTTCCACATCAGTAATCACATTTCTAACATACCACATAAATTACATATTTGTCATGAGTTTGTGTACTTTTTGCTTCCCCAACCCAATCAGAATATAAGTTTATCGTCTGTGGAAGTTTCTCTGTTTTGTTTACAGTACTTATTTAATATCTTTTTTTTTTTTTTTTTTTGAGTTGGAGTCTCACTCTGTCACCCAGACTGGAGTGCAGTGGCCGCTTCCGGTCACTGCAGCCTCGACCTGCTGGGCTCTGGCGATCCTTCCGCCTCAGCCTTCCAAGTAGCCAGAATTACAGGCATGCGCTACCACGCCCGGCTGATTTTTTGATTTATTGTAGAGATGAAGTCTCGCTGCCCAGGTGGGTCCTGCGGGCTCAGGCAATCCACGCACCTCAGCCTCCCAAAGGCGCGGGATTACAGGCTGAGCCACCGAGCCCAGCTTATTTAATATCTTTAAAAAAAATACTCCCTATCAGTAACCCTTATTCACTCATATTCCTGGGTTTTTGAGTTTTCTTTTTCTTTTTTTTTTTGAGTTGGAGTCTCACTCTGTCGCCCAGACTGCAGTGCAGTGGC